TTAAACTGGGAACCAAGGGAGACCACACATTTGCCACCTCTGAGTGGCTCTCAGAAGCAGGTCGAACACACATCATCCCAGACACAAATAGGGAATTAATATGACGATGTTGAACTTACACAAACTCTAGAGAACAGTTCAAGGAGCCCCCTGCACCCATTACACCACCTCAACCACCAGCAGTAGGGCCCCTCTCGTTTAATCTTCCACCCCTGGCTCCTATCCCACTCCCTCACTATGAACACATCCACACTCCACGTCCCTTCATCAGGGTGTGTTTTAGCATAAATATGCATTTAATGTCCCCAAACCCTCCCCGAGACACAAGGGATTCACCTGCTCTCACACAGGTGCATGTGCGCTGTCCCCTCAGGAAGGCTCAGCTCGTTCCCTGTTGTGCAGAGTGGGCGAGGGAGGGAGGGACAACCGTCCTGTGCTTGGGGCTGTGAGGTTCATGGATGACATGTTAGAGGAGAGGACAGTCCAGACCAGCACACACGTCCTCAGACAATCATTTACCGGCACCTTCACCCGCATCACAGTGCAGAATCCTGTCTTCGCTCCCACAGAGATTTCAGACCATTTTCTTCCTTCAGGAGTTTTCCCACCAGGGTCCTTTGTGGGACTTTGGGGTGAGGAGTTGAACATAAAACTATGTGGATCACACGGTGGGTTCTGAGCTGCGTATTAGTGTCACGTGACAATAGATGGTCTTACAGACTCAGTGGAGTGTGAGCAGACACTCCAAGGACTCCCTGCCTCGGCAGTCCCTTTGCTCACGCAGGTCGTCTGTCCTCTGTCCTCAGGGTTGGCTCCGTATCCACCTGCTGCTCCTGTCTGTCTCCGGGACCCACACAAAATGCAGACCCCGGGAGTGCGAGACCCTGTCGTGTGTTCACTCCTCTTTGTATCTCATGCTTGTCAAATTCTCCCTGAGGGAATAAATGAAGGTAGATGAGATATATTTTTATGTACATTGTACAAAATTTCAAATTATTAGCTGTAGTTTGGCCAAAAATTTTCTTCTTTCTGGTTGACAGGAGATTCCACATGACTGGGGCAAGGCTCTCTGACCTCGTGTGAGTGTGTAACTGTTGTGTGTAACAGATGGAACACAGACGCACAGGGAGATGACACATCTATTTAATCAGTCTATTTAAGAACACATTCCTATGACTTCACTTAGACATTTGACGCAAGATTTCCTTTTCAGGTCCTCAAAATGTCATTGGGGAAGACTTCAGGATCTTCATTGCTCAGGTTACAGGGTTGACCCCTTCCCCAAATCAGGGCCTTCGTACATCTATCTGACCCACGAGGCCCGCCCATCCAGGCCTGCAAGCGATGCTCATGACCTCAAGGTGAGCTCAGGTGACCTTCCCCTCCTGAGACGTCAGCTGTGCCAGTGCCACATGAGGCCATGGGGACCAGTGACTCCTTTCGACCCAGGCTTACCAAGGGATGAACCAGGCATTGATTATGTGCAGGAACCTGGGCCCATTTGCCCTGAATCCACCAGGACTGAGGCAGTTTCTCAGGGCTCTGAGGGGCCACCAGTGCTTGTGTGTGGAAGAGTTGCCCTGCTCTACACCCACCGATGAGCCCTCTTCGATCTGTCAGCGCCTGTGACAGCAGAGTCACAGACACAGCAGTACAGAAACATGAGGCACTGGCGGGGAGCAGAGGGGGGACTGTCTGGTTCCCATGAAATCCAGCAGAGGCCGAAGCTGCAGGAAGGAAACTCAGGGTTTCTTGGGAGCCTGTGAACTGAGGATCATCCACAGTGACAGCCCAGGGCTGCTTCTAGAATCTTTTGGTTCCAGTTCCCATCACAACAAACTTATGTCCCAAGGAGAGGCGAGAATGAACCTCTGACCAGATCCCCAGGCAGTGAGGACCCCTGGCTCAGCCCACAGTGAGCATCCAGCCTTAGACAAAGGACAGAGGGACACACATTTGAGGGTCTGAAGTCACAGCCCACAGGATGCCTGGGGTCAGAGAGAAGGGGATCCTGTGTGTTTCAGGACCACTCCCCAGGACCACCAGCAGTGGTCTCTGTGGGAGAGATGGGCAAGAAATATGGGCCATGGAGACACTCAGACCTCCATCCATGGGGTCCCGCTCATGACTCTGTTGCAATATTTTTACTTTTTTATACCTGATACAGGTGTTCCGTAAATGGAGTTGACTGGACAGATACATGAAATGAGGAGACTCAAACAGAGGACGAGAGGAACACAGACAAGTGTGGTGATGGCCAGAGGGAAGGGGGTGGTGGAGGCTGGGTGGGGGCGGGCAAAGTGCCGGACTATGGAGACAACTGTATTGTGTTAACAATAAAAATAAAATTAAACAAAATAACAATTATTTTAAAAAGCAGAAGGAAGAAGAGTAGAGTTAGAACATATGGAGTGAGGCCCGGCATTGAGGGCATTGGGGTGACAGATGCAGGAGAGTGGGACATCCACGCGGGCTTGTGACCATAGCTCAGGAGCAGGTGGACCAGATTCTCAGCTGTCTGGCCGGCACTCATACCTCTCGGCATCAATCCTCTGATCCACTGCTGTGGAAAACGGGGGGCCTTTACAACTTGTGTAAATGTAAATTGTCGAAGCACTTTGGGGTATATTCTGTCCTTTTCTGATTGGTTACTGACGCCTACTCTTAGACTGTCTGCTCTGCATCCATCAGGAGAATCTGGGAAATGGTGGGTAACAAAACAGCCTTCAATTCACACAACACAGCACAGCGTGCAGCCAATAAATCAGGTGTTCTGGGCATAGCCTGGCTGCCCTGGTAACAGGACACCAGTCACACTCAGTGTCCCTGCTGTCTCCTGCTCACACAGATGCTGCTTCCTGGAGATTCTGACCCTGACGATGCTGGCTCAGCAAGGTTGAGCCCTGAGTTCTGGAGGGAAAGAGAAGCCTGGAAACTGCAGAGTCCAGAACAATATAGACTCAGAGAATGGAGTGTGTGTGTGTGTGTGTGTGTGTGTGTGTGTGTGAGAGAGTGTGTGTGAGAGAGAGAGAGAGAGAGATCGTACCCCATGCACCCTCAGGAGGTCTCTGCCGCAGACTTCAAGGATGAATATGTCCCTCTTATATACTCTCCATCCCCTGTGGGTGGTTCTCTTAGCAACCCAGTCCCTGGCACTGGTTCTCTGTCAGACCCTCAGGGTCCTAGAGCCTGGAGCTAAAGAGGCCAGTGTCTGGAAGGTACCTCCCTGTGACCAGGTAGAAATTTGGCAGAAAAGAGGAATTTGGAGCCAATTAGCTCTGAAACACTTCCTATTAATCATAAATCCAGGACTTGTGAGGTTTGAGAAATCTGTCCACCTTCATCCCTGGGGCACAGGACCTCAGCTGTAGGTCAGGAAGCCCAGGGTGGGGTGAGCACAGGGTCCTTCCTTCCTGTCCTGATACCACCTCCTGCCCACAGTGCCCTGTCCCTCAGATGCCTCCCTGTGGTGACCAGCAGAGTGTCTGCATTTCTTTGCAAAAGGGCTAATGCCTGGGACTTCGCTGATCTAGATACAACATTTGAGGCTGGGTTAGTCCTGAAGGCTAAGAACCTCAAGTGTTCTCGGGACTCACAAACATTCGGTTGCATTGAAAAAGTTGGCATGCAGAACCTCAGTACTTCTGAAGGAGGAAAAATAAAATCAGTGCCTCCTATGTGCAAATACTTAAAGGTTGAAATGAACAAAAATGTTTAGTAAAACTCAAATACGATAATTGTAGTGTATTAAAGATTGTAGTGTATTAAAGATTGACTGAGAGTGGTAGGGAGTGGACGACTACAGCTGGGAGTTAGAGCGAAGAATACAGGATGATTTTATGCTGATTAATTTCTGTTAATCACCCTTCTAGAGATGGAGCCTGGGCAATGGACACCCAGCAAGAACATGTCACTGTCTCTGCAGCCCTCAGGGGGAGATGGAGCTAAGACTGCAGAGCCCAGGGACCTGGGGGGCTGAGGGAGCAGCTGCAGGGGAGGAGGAGCTGCAGTGAGGGATTCTCCCTGGGAGTCTGCACTAGTTGTGACCGTCTTCCTGTAGGTCTGTTCAGAGGAGAACATGGTTTCTCTGACCAGGGCGAACACTGGCTATCAGATAGGGTGTATCCTTAGAAACACAAGACTCACACTTTTGACATGAATTTCTGGGTGACCATGACTCTGGGTCATCATTCGCAGACACTGTATTGTGAGACAATAACAATATGTATTGGACTCAGACCCAGGGTTCTGCCCAGGGCTCCTGAAACCCCTGTAATTCCTGAGAGGCAGGCCTGCCTTTTGTGCTAATGGGTGGCTCCTGGATGAGGACGGTCACTGGGAACTCAGAGCTTAATGAGAACTGGAATTTTCACCCTCCCCCATATTGCGGGAAGAGGGAGAAGGGTTCAGGGGGAGTGAGCAAGTTAACATATCAAGTTCATTGAAACCAAGGGAGGGATTGTGGGAACTTCGATGTATAGCCGAAACGCATGTGAAACCTGGGACCTCCTACCTGTGCTTGGCACCTGAGTGGGGCAGTCTTGTGGGACTTGCCCTTTAACTGTGACTCTGACACCGTCTCCAGGCAGATAGTGTTAGAAGTGGGGTATGTTGTAGGATCAGCTGGTGTCACAGAGATGTACTGTTGGGAGGAAAATTCCCCACACAGTTGGTGACCAAAGTGTGGAAAGGAAAGTTCTGTGTGAGTACAAAACAAGATACAACAGAAATAAAGAACTGAGATATTAACTTAGAAATAGTTACTCTTGTTGAAATTTACTGCAAACACTGGGGCTGGTCAGGAGGATTTATCACCCCATCAGTGTGGGTCTCTGGGAAGCCTGTGCCATTACGCATACTGTGTGTGGCTCTTTCCTCCTCCCGTGGACATAACCCACTGCAGAGGAGCCCACCTCACAGATGCTCCACAGGAGCTTCTCCCTGACACGAGGCCCAGAGCTACAATCACGGGGCCCAGGGGTTTTTGTCTCACTTCCCCGTCATCTGAGACACTGTGAGTAACTAAAGCTGCTCCCACTGCCATGATATGTAGCACAGTAATAGTCAGCCTCGTCCTCAGGCTGCAGCCCAGAGATGACCAGAAGCGCTACATTGGCCGAGGTGTCCTTGGATCCAGAGAAGCGGCTGGGGACCCCTGAGCCCTGGTGCTTCTCTGAGTCTGATTTATACCACAGGAGAAACCGGGGAGGGCTCCCTGGCTTCTGCTGGAACCAGTGTATGTAGTAGCCGCCAACACTGGATCCACTGCTCAGGGTGCAGGTGAGTCTGGCTGAGGCTCCAGGAGAGGCAGAGAGGGAGGGCGGCTGAGTCAGCACAGGCTGGGAGAGGGAACCTGCAAACACAGACACTGTCAGGGGTGGGACAGGGACCAGGGAAGTTTCTCAGGAGATGGAGCAGGAGGGGAGTCCTCTGGGGCACCGAGCCTGGTCCCCAAGGCCTGTCCTACCTGTGCAGTGAGAGAGGAGCACGAGGAGGAGAGGAGTCCAGGCCATGGTCACAGCCCTGAGCCCACAGTGGGCTGGGCTGCCCCAGGCCCCCTTTTCTTCCCCACCCTCTGCCAGAGGAGGGGCTTCCATGCAAATGTGCCCACCCAGTGCCTGCCAGCCCCTCCCTGAGCCTGAGTCACCTGTTACCTCAGAGCTCACATGCTCACGACTCTTCTTTCATGAGATTTCCCCAGGATCCTTAGAGGGATTTGGGGTTGAGGAGCTGAATATTAAATTTCAGAGATCCCATGGGGGATTCTTGAGATCTGTTTTTCACATCTGGTTGACAATTGCTTATCTCACAGACTCTTTCTTACTGAAAAGTGAGTTAATGTTTCCACAACAAACTTGAACTCACAGTTGATTTACTCATGGAAGTTGCCTTTTGTCCTCAGAATTTGTTCCACTAGGTTTCTGCTTCCTGTTGTTCCTCTTGTAACCAACTGGAGGTTGATTAGATCCGTCTTCTCTTTTCCACATGGACCCCTGGAATCCAGTCTGTACCAGTCACCCTCTAGTCCTGTAACCAGTACCTTGTTGAAGGATCATTAAAACATCCAAGGATCCAGTTTAACATCTTCTCGTGCCCCCTAGACCCTGAGGTCAGAGTTCTTTCTTCATAAGTCTTCGAGAATGGATTCAAACTCAAAATGTTCAGAAAACAAAAAATGTTTTTTTCAACCACTTTCAAACTCTATTTCATTCTTTACACCATAGTCAGAGGAGATTTCAAGCACAAAGACCCTATTCAGGCGCCTCTGTGTTTAAAAATCTCCCATAACTTGTTTCCCCTTGAAGAGTAAATATGTTGGTTACTCACTCAGGACTGCAATGGGCATGACCATCAGCCTCAATTCTCCCCTCCCCCTACTGTGGTCTGTAAAAAGCACATTCAGGCCAGATTGGCTCAGCGGTTAGAGTGTGGGCCCTTGGACCAAGGACTCGAGGATTCGATTCCGGTCAAGGGCAGGTAACTCAGTTGCAGTTCGTCCCTTGCCTTGGTCGTGTTCGTGCTGGAGGCAACCAGTCGATGTGTCTCTCTCACATCCATGTTTCTCTCACTCTCCCTCGCTCTCTCTCTTCCACCCTCCGACTCTTATCTGAAGATAAATAAGAAAATAATTCCTGGTGAGGATTTCTAAAAAAAAGCCAGGTGCAGGTCCTCACTGCAAAAGAATGCCTAACCCTGAGCCAGTGCTCACTCCTCTTCAAGCCTCGGCCTCCTGCCCTGAGCTGGTCCCCTTCCTGCAGGACCAGGCTGCCACCTCACCTGCTGCAGACCTTCTCACACCAGCAGGTGGGGGAAGAGTTATTGTTATTAACATCATTCGAATGACAAATGACACACATAAAACTATAACCATATGTGAGGATAGTTCATTCCTGAAAATTAATCCTAGAGGAAGAAAAAATACATGTGTCCACTAAAACGTGTATATGATCGTTCATAGCAACTTTTTGAAAAATAGGCCATAACTAGAAACAACCAAAACGTCCTTCAGTTGTTAGTATACAAAACAGAGTTTATTCTTGCATTATTGTTTATTAATCATTGTATTATCAAAAGGAACAACTGTAAACCAACTTTGACCCCAACTTGTACCTACATTTTTTTTAAACTGGCAAACTACTTTACAGACCGCCTATGCGTGCTCCTCGGGGAACTGGTTTCCGGGAGAACATGACCGTCAGGTCATCATTTGTAGGTGCGGACACTGTGCTGTGACATAATAGAAAATACGTGTTGGTCTCGGCCCCGTGGTCTTGGCTCAGGGTTCCTGAAATTCCTGTCACGTCCTGAGTGACAGGCCTGCTTTTGCTGACACACGATGACTCAGGGTGGCTGCTGGATGAGGAGGGGTCACTGGAGAGACCGAGGCTGATCAGAAGCCTGGGGTGTTCAGACCTGCCCCCACGGGCAGGAGGGCAAAGGACACAGGTGGGCTCGGCAAGGTAACGTACCGAGTTAATCAAAGCCAAGGGAGGGGTCATGGGAACATTTGGTTTATAGCCAAAGACTTGAGTGAAACCTGGGGACCTCTTACTTGTCATGGCACCTAAGTGGGGTGGTCTTGTGGGACTGACCCTTCAACTGTGGGGTTGACACCGTCTTCAGACAGATAGTGTGAGAGGTGAGTTATGTTGTATGACCAGCTGGTGTCACAGAGAATTACTTTTGGGAAAGTAAAATCCCCACACTTTGCTAACCAAAGTGTCAGAAGGGAAGTCATCAGTGTGAGTAGAAAACAAGACACAAGACTAGGAAATAATTGAGATTTCCTTACTTAAAAATATTCATTCTTATTAAAATTACACCAGACATTAGGGATGGTCAGGAGTCTTTATTACCCAGTCAGCGTGTGTTCCTGGGACACCTGTGCTGTTGCTCATATTGTGTGTGGCTCCTTCCTCCTCCCGTGGACATAACCCACTGCACAGGAGTCCACCTCACAGATGCTCCACCGAAGCTTCTCCCTGACACGAGGCTCAGAGCCACAATCTCGGGGCCCAGGGTTTTTGTCTCACTTCCTCGTCATCTGAGACACTGTGAGTAACGATAGCTGCTCCCACTGCCATGAGCTGTAGCACAGTAATAGTCAGCCTCGTCCTCAGGCTGCAGCCCAGAGATGAGCAGAAGCCCCGCGTTGGCCGAGGTGTCTTTGGATCCAGAGAAGCGGCTGGGGACACCCGATCCCTGGTGCTTATAGAAGTCTGATTTATACCTCAGGAGATACCGGGGAGGGCTCCCTGGCTTCTGCTGGAACCAGAGTATGCGGAAGTCACCAACACTGGATCCACTGCTCAGGGTGCAGGTGAGTCTGGCTGAGGCTCCAGGAGAGGCAGAGAGGGAGGGCGGCTGAGTCAGCACAGGCTGGGAGAGGGAACCTGCAAACACAGACACTGTCAGGGGTGGGACAGGGACCAGGGAAGTTTCTCAGGAGACGGAGCAGGAGGGGAGTCCACTGGGGCACTGAGCCTGGTCCCCAGGGCCTGTCCTACCTGTGCAGTGAGAGAGGAGCACGAGGAGGAGAGGAGTCCAGGCCATGGTCACAGCCCTGAGCCCACAGTGGGCTGGGCTGCCCCAGGCCTCCTTTTCTTCCCCACCCTCTGCCAGAGGAGGGGCTTCCATGCAAATGTGCCCACCCAGTGCCTGCCAGCCCCTCCCTGAGCCTGGTGCTGGAGCTCAGCTCACACCCAGACTGAGGGGGATGGAGGGTGGCTTCACCCCTTGGGAGAAACTAGGAGGAAGCAGCTGCTGAGACAACACATCAGTGAGCACAGGGCCCAGCCTCAGTCCCAGTCTCCTAGGAGTGAATGTTCCTCAATGAGCAGCAGTGTAGGGACCACAGGGCAGTGCCATAGCGCCTCCTGCTGGTAGCAGATCAAACACTTCCCCAGGACCCAAACCCTGAGATCCCAGTTGGTTTCTACAGTAGCAGGTCAGTGTCTCTGTTCATCGTCCATGGTCTGGTTGTGAGAGACTGTGCTTCTGATACACTGTAGCCAGGACTGTAACGTCTCACTGCCAGGGCAACCCCATCAGTGGCAGGTGCAAAATTATACATGAATGATAAATTAAGTTAATGTCACCCAAAGTGACGATGTTGCTAAAGGAATTGCACAATGACCTCCATGTCCAATGTCACAGATGATGGGGCTCTTCATCTGGTTGGAAGGGCTCCTAGGCTGTCAGAGGTTTTCCAGGAGCACACTCAGAAGAGTGGTCAGAGGAGGACTATTCAGCAAACACTTCGAGTCCTGAGATGCACGTGCAGTTTTCACGGAGCTCGGACTTGCCTGAGTGACTGGTAAACACAACGGGTGTGTAGGCTGCACATGGACCAGTAGGAAGTGCAGCTGCCCCTTCACTTCAGGTAGACTTTCTGTCTCAGTTTGTGGTGCTCTGCACATCTGTGTGGTGTGGTTCTTGTTAGGATTTCCTTAGATGTCCTAAAATATGTTCATATATCTATATATCTATATATCTATGCATACACCTCAATCCTCACCCTAGAATATTTGTCTATTCATCTTCCAATAGAGCGGGACAGAGAGAAGGAGAGAGAGAGAAACAGCTATGTGACAGACACATCGACTGGTTGCCTTCAGCATGATCCAACAAGGCGCTCAGGGACCTTCTGACGCAGCTCAGGCAGGTCACCTCCTGCTCAAAGCCCTCATGAATCCTCCTGCTGTTCGCACAACACCCCTCAGCCTAGGGTCCTGTCAAGAGGCTTCATAGTCCGGCCCTTCCCCCTCCACCCACCATGGAGCCTCTGCCCTTGTCTCAGGCCTCCAGCTCCCCTCACTTTCCTGTGACTTCAAAACCCCGACTGTGTCCCTTCATGGAGTCCCCGACAACCCCTCCCCTGTCCTCTGCGAGTAGATGGAATTAAACGTGAAATCATGAGGAGACCACACATTTGGCACCTCTGAGTGGCTCCCAGTAGCAGGGCGAACATACATCATCCCAGACACAAATAGAGAATTAATATGACGATGTTGAAGTTACACGAACCCTAGAGAACAGTTCAAGGAGCCCCCTGCACCCATTACACCACCTCAACCACCAGCAGTAGGGCCCCTCTCGTTTAATCTTCCACCCCTGGCTCCTCGTCCCACTCCCTCACTATGAACACATCCACACTCCACGTCCCTTCATCAGGGTGTGTTTTAGCATAAATATGCATTTAATGTCCCCAAACCCTCCCCAGACACAAGGGATTCACCTGCTCTCACACAGGTGCGTGTGCGCTGTCCCCTCAGGAAGGCTCAGCTCATTCCCTGTTGTGCTGAGTGGGCGAGGGAGGGAGGGACAACCGTCCTGTGCTTGGGGCTGTGAGGTTCATGGATGACATGTTAGAGGAGAGGACAGTCCAGACCAGCACACACGTCCTCAGACAATCATTTACCGGCACCTTCACCCGCGTCACAGTGCAGAATCCTGTCTTCGCTCCCACAGAGATTTCAGACCATTTTCTTCCTTCAAGAGTTTTCCCACCAGGGTCCTTTGTGGGAC